TTTGGGTTTGAGGTGGTTGTTGTACATTTTGCCATCATGGCCCCGCCATAGCCGACCTTTCAAAAGGTTCCTTTAAAAAACTAAAATTCTTAACAGCAATATTATAACAATGCTCCTTCCCCTACACGTGTAAATTGTGAAAGCCTTAGCTACTCTGATCACGGCAGTGATCCAAGACAGTTCCAAAGGACCCATGGTGAGAAGAGTTCTCTGTCTCCAGAGAGCTCTGACAGACTCTGAGTGCACATCAAAGCAGACTTGTTCTCTTTTCTTTCTTTTCTCTCCCCCCTCCTCCTCTCCCCCCCCTTTCAACATGGCCAATATGGAAATATCTTTTGCATGAGTGCCCATGTATCATCAGTATCATTGCTTGCCTTCTCAATGGGTGGAGCAAGGGCCAGAGGGAGGGAGAGAATTTGAAGCTCAATTTTTAAAAAAAATGAATGTTAAAAATAAATTAATTTTAAAAATTAAAATTCTTATTGGATTGGCTTCCTTTCAGGCCCCAGGTGTTGCCCAAGAATGGAGTGAGTTCCCTGTCACTGGTGTTCTTTCAGTTAAGGTCGGTCTGGATTGTTCGGGAGATTTCGTGGGGACTAATTGACTAGATGACCCAGGCTTCTCCCAGGGCCCAGTGAAAGTCTGTCCGTCCTCCCAAGTCCAAGGAAGCTGCTATAAAGTAGGCGGATTTCTATTTCCCCTCCCCACTTCTCATCCTAACCAAAATCAATCTTCCACCTATTTACTGGAAGGCTCTTGTTTTTAAACCCAGATGGAAGATGAGAAAATGGCTTTTCTTCCCGCCCCCCCCCCTCAAGATTTCAGACATCGAACATCACATCTCTGGCCACATAGGGAGGGAGATGTTGCCAAGAGGACAGTCTTCAGGGCTATATTAAAATTCAGAACTTGGCCAACCCTTCATCCTACAGAGGAGGAAACTGAGGCCCAGCAGGGGGTTTATGCTGTGGTTTTCCTTTCCATCATCCCGAGAATTGTATCTATTCTTTCTACCACTTTCCTGGAGAGTAGCAATGGTGACAGAAAGGAAAGGATATTGGGCTTGGATTCACGAGAGATCCTTTACTAGATGTGTCACCTTGGGCAAGTCACTTGACTTACCTCGGTTTCCTCATGTGTAAAATGAGGAGTTTGGACTAAAATGTCCTCTGAGGTCTCTTCCAGCTATCGATCTGTGAACCTATAAACCTGGGTGACCTTGAGCAGGTTACTTCTGGGGATGACCCTAGGTCTCAGTTTCCTGATATGTCAAGTGAGGGGAGCTGAATTTGATGTCCTCTGAGGCCCTTTCCGGCTCCATCAATGACCCTCGGATCCTAAGTGAGGTGATAAAAAACAAGATAAAGGCGATGAGGGAATCTACCCCACTGAGCTCCCTGGGAGACTAAGGATGGAATTGCGTAGGCTTTAGGACCCACTCACATGATCCCCTAGAAATTCCCAGTTTAGAGGGAGATCAGCAAACTTGACAGCTTTCTTGGGAAATGTCTGTCTTGCCCCTGTCAAATTAGTGGGAGCTGAACATGGATGAATGGGACCTGAAGTGAGCTTAGCCACTTCCTAGCCCGGCAACTGTGGGCAAATGATTTCCCGTCTCTGGGCCTTAGTTTTCTGATCAGTAGAATGAGGGGCTTGACTTCTGATCTCAAAGGGTCCTTCCATCTCTCGAGCCCTAGGACCTTGGAGAGATCTATAGGGGGTTTTCAGGAGGGTGAGGGCTTCTCAGAGCTGTTCAGCCACCTTTGTTGTCCACCTTCACCCAACCCTCACCTGTGGCTCCAAGCAGCTGTATAGCGTGTGTAGCCACCACACCCCAGGAGAACCATTTTGGCAGATGGACTAAACCAGGCTGAGAGTAAGTGGCAGGCTGTTGGTGAGTTAAAGGGGCGTCTGCCCCAAGCACGTAAAGACTTTCCCTGGTGGAATGAGAACAATCGGGTCCCACAGCCACGAAAGCGACTGAAGCAGGTGCTGTGGAGCGTTTAGAGCTTGGTCAGGCATGGAAGACGCCAACGTCATCCGCTGTCTCCTGGGCCATCGCCAGTCGTCCTGACTTTAGTCTTATCACTGGACTTCCATGGCTCTGGAAGAGAGAGCGAGGCCAAAGGCTTTGTGCAACTACGTATTACTAAAATCCAATTTGAGCTCAAGTCAAGCCAGCAAACTCGTCCCCCTGGACTCTTCTCTTCCTCAGTCCCTTCAGCAGGTCTTCAAATGACATCTCCTAGAGGAAGCAATGAGTACAGTCAAAGGCTTGTTAAGCTCCAAGCCAGAGTCCCCAGGACACAGCATCCAAAGAGCTAGAAGGGCATCCAGGCATGAGCCACATCTGGGCAGGAATGCCCTCTTTGTCTTCCTCACACTGGCCGTCCATTCTTTTTTTTTTTTAATAAATTTATTTATTTTTAGTTTTCAACATTCACTTCCACAGGATTTTGAGCTCCAAATTTTCTCCCCATCTTGTCCCTCCCCCTCCCCAAGATAGCGTGCATTCTGAATACCCCTTCTGCTAATCTGCCTTGCCTTCTATCTCTCCCCCCTTCTTTTATCCCCTTCCCCTTCAATTTTCCTGTAGGGCAGAATAGATTTCTTTACCCCATTGCCTGTATATCTTAGTTCCCAGTTGCATGTGAAAACAACTTTTTTTAACTTTTGTTTTTAAAACTTTGGGTTCCAGATTTTCTCCCTTCCCCCCTCCCCACCCACTCTCATTGAGAAGGCAAGCAACTTGATACAGGTTATACATGTGTAGTCATGCAAAACACTTGCATATTAGTCACATTGTGAAAAACTATGTATATTTCCTTTAATCCTATCCTGCTCTCCATTTATTCTATTCTCTCTTTAGAAGTGTTTGCTTCTGATTACCCCCTCCCCCAATCTGCCCTCCTCTCTATCATCCTCCTGCTCTCTTTTCCCCTCCCCCCCCATTTTCCTATAGGGCAAGACAGATTTCCATACCCAATTGAGTGTGTATGTTATTCTTTCCTTAAGTCAAATCCCATGAGAATAAGACTCACTCATTCCCTCTCACCTTCCCCCATTTCCCTTCCACTGTAAAAGTCTTTTCTTGTCTGTTTTATGTGAGATAATTTACCCCATTCTGCTTCTCCCTTTCTCCTTCTCCTAGTATAATCCTCTCTCACCCCTTAATTTTATTCTCCAGATATTGCCCCTTCATCTTTAACTCACCCTGTGGTGCCTCTATCTATCTATCTATACCTACGTATAATTTTTTCCCTCCAACTACTCTAATACTGACAAAGGACTCATGAGTTACAAATATCATCTTTCATTGCAGAATGTAAATAGTTCAACCTTAATACTCTTATGATTTCTCTTTCCTGTTTACCTCTTCACGTTCCTCTTGAGTCTTGTATCTGAAAGTCAAATTTTCTATTCAGCTCTGGTCTTTTCATCAAGAATGCTTGAAAGTCCCCTATTTTACTGAATGCCCATTTTTTCCCCTGAAGGATTATGCTCAGTTTTGCTAGGTAGGTGATTCTTGGTTATAATCCTATCTCCTTTGCCCTCCAGAATATTATATTCCAAGCCCTGCAGTCCCTTAATGTAGAAGTTGCTAAATCTTGTGTTATCCTGATTATGTTTCCACAATATTTGAATTGTTTCTTTCTGGCTGCTTACAATATTTTCTCCTTGACCTGGGAACTCTGGAATTTGGTTACAATATTCTGAGGAGTTTTCCATTGGGGATCTCTTTCAGGAGGTGATTGGTGGATTCTTTCAATTTCTATTTTACCCTCTGGTTCTAAAATATCAGGGCAGTTTTCATTGATAACTTCTTGAAAAATGATGTCTAGGCTCTTTTTTTGATCCTAGCTTTCAGACAGTCCAGTAATTTTTAAATTCTCTCTCCTGGAGCTATTTTCCAGGTCAGTTGTTTTTCCAATGAGATTTCACATTGTTCTCTATTTTTTCATTCTTTTGAATTTGTTTTACTGTGTCTTGATTTCTCAAAGTCACTAGCTTCCAATTGCTCCCTTCTAATTTTTAAGGAAGTATTTCTTCAGTAAGCTTTTGGACTTCCTTTTCCATTTTGGCCATCCATTCTTCAGCACTTGCAGGTCTTGAGTGCCGGGGAGCTCCCTCCCTCCCAGGGCAGCCCATCCCACTTTCTTCCTGGTTGGGAGGCACTTGGGTTCTCTCTCTGGGCCACTTCTCTCTGCTCTTTCTGGTTTTGCCCTTTGAGGCCAAGAGGAACAACCCTAATCCCTCTTTCATATAACCATTCAGACACTCGAAAGTGGTGACTATACCACGTCCACCCCTCCCGACCAGCTTCTGTTCTCTAAACTGAACATTCCAGTTCTGTTTCCTCATCTTCTCGTGTCACAATCTCCAACTTTTTCTCCACCTTCATGACCCTCCCCCATGGAGCCTTGCCAAAATATGGCACCCATAGAATCAGACCCTCTTCTGGTTGTTAAATAAGCACTTTTTACAGTGGGGGCTTATGAAGAATATCTTTTGTGAATAATAAAAAACTGACATTCTGACCTACAGACATTTTACCATTAATTTGATCTTGCATCTCTATAGGCACAACTCACTTCTCAGAGGTGCCTCTTATCTCACTCCCTAGAGTATGCCTTGATTTTTAAAGGGCCACCAGGGCTGTGGTCAGTGCTTCAAGCAGCCAACGGCTAGCTGCACTCTTAATTCAGTCAAGCTTGACTACACAGATAGAGGGAAGGAGTCTCTCATTGTCTGCATCCTTCCTCTGAAGACTTGAACTTCTATCTGTTGGGGTGGAGGGAGGGGAGAAGCAGTTGGTCTAGGCCATCCTGATCTTGTCCCTTCCCCACTGTAAAACACATTGAAACCCTTAAAATGTCCTTAGTTGTTGCAGTGGGTGTGGTAAATAACAGAATCCCAGCTATAATTTTATGTGTCGTGAAAAACGTCTCTTGCCTTGGCCTCTCTGGCAGTCTGTCCTCACCGTGTGAATTCTTTTGCAGATTCCCCCCGTTCCTCCCGAAAGCCCTTCTCTGTGGTTGGGGACCATGTCCAAGCAGCTCGTGTGCGTGCTGAAGTTTCTCCGAGGATCTACCAACCAGAGGATGTGCGCTCTGTTCGCTGTCACTTTCAAGCTCATGTTCCTCGTCTCCATCATGGTCTATTGGATGGCGGAATCCAGATACAAGACCCAGCTGCACAGTCTGCCTCTAGAGGTTAAGTGCCCCCTTGTCCTTCCTTCACCTCCCCCTCTCGTCCTGGGCGAGCCCCCTCCCCCTCCCCCTCCAGGGGACATCTTCTTTGTGGAAACCTCCGACCGAACCGATCCGAGCTTCCTCTTCATGTGCTCGGCGGAATCTGCCTCCAGGACTCACCCCGGTACCAGGATTGTCGTCCTCATGAAGGGCCTGGTTGGTAGGAACTCCACCCTACCCAAGCACCTGGGCGTCTCTCTGCTGAGGTGTTTCTCCAATGTGGAATTCCAGCCACTGGACCTGACTGACCTTTTTGAGGGCACCCCTTTAGCCAGCTGGTACAGTTCCCTTCACCAAAGATGGCAGCCGTACCTCCTCCCCATCCTTTCGGATGCTGCTAGAATAGCCATCATGTGGAAGTTTGGGGGGATTTATTTGGACACGGACTTCATCGTACTTAAAAATTTGAAAAACTTCACCAATGCCCTGGGCACTCAGTCCAAGTATGTGCTGAATGGGGCCTTCCTCGCCTTTGAGCCCAGGCATGAGTTCATCCAGCTCTGCATGCAGGACTTTGTGGATCATTACAATGGCTGGATCTGGGGCCACCAAGGCCCCCAGCTCTTGACCCGTGTCTTCAAAAAGTGGTGTGGAAGTAGGAGCCTCCAGGATCACCAAAGCTGCAAAGGGGTCCGGGCCCTGCCCCAAGAAGCCTTCTACCCTATTACGTGGCAGAACTGGAAAAAGTACTTCGAAGCCATCAGCTTGCGGGAATACGAAGCGCTACTGAGTAAGACCTACGCAGTCCATGTGTGGAACACAAAGAGCCAGAGCGTCAGCTTTGACGTCACTTCCAAGGTGCTGCTCGCGAAGCTCTATTCCCGATACTGCCCTATGACATCGGAGGTCATGAAAATGTATCTCTGAAGAGCTGAGGTGGACTCCAGGCTCCCCTCCCTCTCAAAAAAGCATTGGCTCAACACTATCTGCCATCTTTACAGAAAGGAGTACCTGGGTTGGAAGGCCCATTCCAGCTAAAGAACTATGATCTTCTGTGGGTAGGGAATTCTGATTGGGTTGGAGGCTGGAAGTGTTGGACGGTCCTTCCAGAGCGTCTGCTCTAGGTGTCCTGAGGTGGTAGCCATCCACCAGTTAGGACTGTGGGCATCCAAAAGAACAGAATGGGGGAAAAGGCCATCAGCCTCGAGGCGAGGGGAGGTGTTTGTCACAAGAGACCAGAGAATGGAAGCTGGGATGGAAACTTCAGGGCAAAGGAGGCAGAAAGTACGCAAAGCAGGAAGACATTGTCCATAAGATAAGAGGGAGAAAAGGTTGTTCGTGATGTCCGGGAGGTCAAAAGTTTCTAGGGGGTGGGGGTTTCTTTCCACTCTCCCAGGTCGGTCTCAATATTGAGATGAACGTGACTTCTTCAGCTCTTTGAAGGCTGGAAGCAGGAGCTCATATTGGAGAACCTAAGGGGGAAAACCTCTCTGTCTTCTCCCCTATCCTACTCCCACCCTCACTTTGTCCCTTTCAGAAATGAACCTGAATCAACCAGCATGGGGTCAGCCACTGACTTTGGGGGGGGGGGTCTTGAGAAAGGCATTTGAGAGGAGACTCTGAGAAAACCCCTAAAATATTCCCTCTCTCTGTTCCCCCCTCCCCACATATCAGGTAAGACCAGGAGAGGAAATATAACAACAATACCAACACTTCTTTTGACATGGTTCCCAAATTGTGTTATCTCCACCATCCCAGGGAGGCCGATGCTTTATTAGCCTCATTTTAGAGGGAAGGAAACCAGGGTTGGAGGGTTATGTGTCACTTGCCCAGGGTCATAGAGCTAATAAGTGCCTGAGGCAGGATTTGAACACAGGTCTTCCCTACTCCAAGTTCAATGCTCTTTATGCTACAGAGACACTACAGACCCTAACCTTCTGGTAGGGGTATTGTTATAGGACGCCTGGCACCCTTCCTGCTAGGAGGCTCCCTAAACTTGGTAGATGTTTCTCCCCCAACCTCCTGCCATTTACCCTCACTCTCAGATCTTCTTGGAAGCTCATTGAGTGAAACTAGCCTTGTTTCCCCCAGGGACCCACTCACTTTGCTAGATTCAAAGAAAAAGTTGGATCAAACCCCGGGGTGTCTTGAGAAGTTTCCACCTCAGCAGATTGTCTGAGCAGACAAAGGTTGGTTGGCTAGAAGGAGGTGCCATTCCCCTGGATCTTGTTGGGAACAGTGATCTTGGAAACATTTCCTCATTTGGCATTCCCAGTCCGGAAGTGGCTCTCTAATAGTCAAGCACTCATGTAAGTGTCCTTGAATGCCTGGATGAGAGGCTGGGGCACAGCCATTGTGCCTACCTGACTGATTTCTGAGCTCACAGTGGAAATGAGGCCAGTGAAGCCCCATGCCCTCCCGAGCCATCTGTACATGGTCTTCACTGGGGGCTTCTTGAGAAGATTTCTCCAGTGTTGGCCCTGAGTCTCCTCCCTAACTAAAAATTTTATTTTTATTTACATTTTAATAGATGTCTTTTGCTTTTTAATGATAGGCCAACAGGAGGGATATAGATCACTGATCTGGGGACTAGGAAATATCCCCTCTCTTATGCTGGCTGTATGACCCTGGGCAAGTCATTTTAATTAACCCCTCAGTGCCTGTACCCTACCCCAAACTGTATAAGTGGCAGAGGGTCACTGTGCATTGGTAGAGACTTTCCTTGTCCAGGACTTCCTATGCCAAGGAATTCATGAGTCTGGCCCCTGTCATCCTTGGTTCTGCGTTCTTCATTGACTGTTTTTCCCAATCTTGCCCTCTTTTCCTTTCTCCTTTCCCTCTCCCAAAAAGCCATCCCTTATAACCAGGAATGAAAAAGAAAGAAGAAAAACACACCAGTAAAGCAAAACCAGCACAAGCCAATGAGGTCTGACTTTCTATTTCCTCCTGATCTGCACCGAGGGTCTCCTGTGCCCTGCAGCACCCATCCTGTGAGAAGCTAAGAATGCCCTGTCATGACCTTGCCTGCCCTCTAGCTTCCAGGGGTCTCTCCTGAGGGGTGGCTGTCAGGTTCTTTGGGGGCTGAGCTTGGCCTTTCCTGTCTCAGTTCCCAACTCTGAATGTCCCAACTGTGCTAGTGTGTTTAATTGAGAGAGAGAGAGAGAGAGAGAGAGAACAAAAAACATTCAAAGGCTTAGGAAAACCAACTACTGGAAAGAATTAAGGTCTGCCTACGGGAGAAGAGAAGTCAACCCAGCTGAATGAGTCTCCCCAGGCTGCCCATAAAGAGAGCCAAATGGCCAGGATCCTGAGCTGGGGGAACATGGAGCTGTGGGTAATAAGTAACCCTGGCTACTCACGTAATCTGTCCATCTCGACTTCAGGGTCTGCTCCCCCACAAAGTTGAACCAGGCACTATGCAGGAAAGAAGATATCTAACAACAATCTTTAGTTATTGTAGGGAGGTAGGGGATTTTATTTTTTCCCTTCCTGCCCTCATCCAAATATAACACATGGCTTGGGGGCTCATGAGCTGTGGTTTGAAGTGGATGAGGACCTTTGGAGTAGCTTGAACTTGGTTGCTTTTCTGTGAGCCCCACATGTGAAAGGAGAGTGTCTCAGGCATCTGTATGATACGCCTCACTCTCTACTACTGGGTTTTTGGGTGAGGGGTGGAGTGAAGAATATGACTTCCCTACCCACTGTGATATGGGAAGGAAGCACATGGAAACCTCATCATTACTAGAAAGTTTATCAAGTTACACACCTGTCCCTTGCCCTCTTCACAGATTACTGGTGGAAGAGGATGGAGAAGGAATAAGGGGAGTCAAGGAGCAGGCTAGAATAGAAGAGACCCAGATGAGAGCTTTCCTCAACAGATCCGTGTGGGTTCCCTGCTGCCATGTTTCATCCCCTGCCTCTAGGGCTTTGTCCTGTCTTCATTCCTGTTCATCCGATATCAGAAAGCTTCCCCTCTCTTCTCCCTCAAAATGGAGGCCAAACCCAGCAGTTTATTTCCCGTCCTTGACTATAGCTAAGCAACTTTGGTTGGTTTACAAGCCAGGAGGGGCCTGGAATCTTCCAAATCCTCTCTGAGAGGAAGCCAGCCCAGATCCAACTAGCCCTTCATGGTTCCATGATGCTCACTAGTATCACACACATTCACTTTTCTAGTTGCTAGACTCTGGATCCTGACTGAGGTTGGCTCCAAGATAGCAGTCAAAGAAGAGCATGGGTGGTGGTCCCTTGTTGCCTGGGGAGCCATGGTGCAAGGTGGGAGGCAGCTTAGCTCTGGGCTCCAACACCTGGAAAGCGTCTGGTTGAGAAGTGAGAGGCAGGGTAATACAATGAGAAGAAACCTGGATCTGAAGCCAGATGACCTCTGTTCAAATCCTAGCACTGCCGGGGCAGCTAGATGGCACAGTGGATAGAGCACTGGCCCTGGATTCAGGAGGACCTGAGTTCAAATCCAGCCTCAGACACATAACACTTACTAGCTGGGCAAGTAAGTGACCCTGGGCAAGTCACTTAACCCCATTGCCTAACCAAAAAAAAAAATCCTAGCACTGCCACTCATTCCCTTTGTGACCTCTGGCAGGTAACCTCACTCTCTGTGCCTCAGTTTCCTCACCTGTAAAATGATGAGACTGGACTGGATGAGCTCAGAGGTGCTTGTGACTTCAAATCTCCAAAGCCTTGCTTTTCTTTGGAGCTTGGAGAATCTTGGGTTGCATTTTTTGCCTTGCACATAGCCTGGAGGGAAGCTAATGAGACGGTCCCTGCCCCCACTCCCAGGCTGTTATTTTAGCTCTAATCAAATGCTATTGTCTACTGGACCTTTCTCATGGTCAGATGTAGTCATTTACAGAATGAATTGGGTCACTCATTTTTCCTTCTCTCTTTAAATATTTATTTGGGGTTTGGGGGTAAAAGGGGGGTAATTGCTGAGTTTATTTTTCTTTTCTGCTTCCATGAAAACATTCTGTTCTGTGACATCTTGTTCTGGCACATGATGCGTTTTTGCCTCTAAATGATTGGGCTGGGGCTGTAATCAGATTTAGCTGGATCAAAATAACATTAGACTGGGCATAAGAAACAAATGGGAACTGGCCAGGCATTCTACAGGGATTCAGTGGTGGGCTCAGGACTGGTTCATCTCTGCTGAGTCAGACCCCACAAAGCTGCCCTCAGCCCTGGTGGCTTCTTGTCTCCTAGGTGGGAGTTGAGACATCTTGATGCATCTATTACAGTCTGGAGCCCCCAATGCCCTAAGACGGTTTGACCTCTCTCTTAAAGGGTTAAATATTTCCCAAGTAAAAGATTCACCTCTTCCCCCCCCCCCCCCGCCCCGCTCTGTGACTTCTCCTAGGATCAGGATGTGGCAGGATGCGTTTGCAAGTGAGTGGGAGAAAGTCATATCCCCCAGAATTGTAGTTTCTGTGCTTGGAACCTAGAACCTCAGTTCTCTCTCCCTTTCCACAGACAATGGGTATAGGATGGAAGAAGTTAGGAAGCTCAGAGACTAAAGCTAACAAGGCAGATGTCATCTAGGTCCAATCAAGCCATCTCATAAGAGCCAAAGTTTCCCCCTTCTTGCCCTCCCCTCTTCTTTTACTTGGGAAATACTTAACCCTTTGGGAAAGAGGTCAAACCATCTTAGGGCTTTGGGGGCTCCAGACAGTAATAGATGCATCTAGATGTCTCAATTGACACCCTCTTCTTGGGACCATTACACAGAAGAATAGTGAATGTATATCAAGGAGTGTTTTATCAAGAGAGTTTACCAATTAATGTAATGGGCATATGTGAGTCTTAGTTTGGAACCTTTGACTTGACCTACAGAGTATGGACATGCCAATTGACTGGTACTTTGTTAATGGGGACAAAAGTCTTAAGTCTCAGTACCTGGGCTTCCACTCAAATGACTTGGCCAGGACCCTTGGGGAAGATGCCATTCTTTGCTGGCCTATTAAAGAGTGCCAGAAAGGATCCCTTTTCCCATCCTGTTCCTGTTTAGAAGGCAGCAAGATCACACGAGGATCTCAGACAAGCTAAGATTAAGCCTTTTCTTCTTAACATCACGTCTGGAGCTGAGATCACTGTCCTTTGCCCCAGACAGCTATAGGACCTCAGAATTAGAAATTCCATCAGTCTTCTCTGACTGGGTGTGCAAATGAATGAGGAAAAGTAGAGAGGAGCCAAGGTCATTTCTTTCAGCCTTTGTTATGAAGATCTGTTGGCAACAAATCCCACTAGCCATGGCATGATGTTTTGTCCAGGGAATAACCTCACCATCTCCACTGACATCTTCTTGACTTGGCCCCAAAGCCTTGGACCTCTTGGGTCCCCCTGTCTCGGCTTGGGTCAGCCTGAGCTCACAAGTTTGAAGGGTACGCTCTTCTCCCTGGTCTCTCCTCTTCTCTCCTCCCTGAGCCACAGAGATATCCTAGATCCTTCCTTCAGTCAATGTAAGTCAATGGATTGGGAGATCTTGTCAATGGGTCATTCGCTCCCATGGTGCTGATGCAAATCCCTCTGCGCCTTCTCATCCTCCAGGCTTCTTGCCTGTGGTCTTCCGCAAAGGACTGGCCAACATTCTGGAAGCTGCCCCATCTCTTTATTGACCAATATCATAATTTGTCACGTGCACCTCCTTTTCAGAGCCTCCATTTACTCAATGGTGTCCCTCCCACCCCTTGCAGTAATGCCCATTTCTGTCTGATTTGGAGGTTTGACAAGCACTTCCGTGACCGTAGCTTTTCCAGGCAAGCAGTTCCCAGGATGTTGAGGCCATTTCCAGGGGAGGAGACTAGTGGCAGTGAGAATTTGGATGTTTGCCCAAGGTTCCTCAGGGAGTGTCTGAAGCCAGGTTCAAACCAAGGTTTCAAGCATGATATGTAGAAAGTGCTGGGCACCAAGAGGTACGAAGACACAAAATGGCAGCCCCTGGCTTCGTCAAGCTAGCTCCTCCCTGAGTCCTCCCAGACGAACAGCTCCAGAGCTGGAAGGGACCTCGGAGGACAACTTGTCTACCTCCTCATTTAACAGATGGGGAAACTGAGGCTCAGGGATTGGGAAATGATCTGCCCAAGATCACACGGGGAATTAGTGGCAGAGCCATACTTTGAATCCAAGTCTGATGACTTGGTAGACAGCTCCCAAAAGTTGTTCTCCCCCCAAACCCTGGTGCTTAGTATCAGACTCAGGGGCTGTCTTCAGTCTTTCTCCCTTGGGTCCCGGTGGCAGAACCTTTCCCAGCCCAGGTCTGCCCCATGACAAAATGAGGCAGCAGAGGAGGATTTTAGTGCAGGGCCCATCGATTTCCCCTTGTCTTGCCCCAAACTTGGATTCTCCTCAAGTTCTAGGTGAGTGTTTTGCACAGACTTTGGCTAAACCGAGCCCTTGTGTCTTGTCCCACGTGGCCCAGATGCCGTGGTAGGCTGCAGGAAGAGGGATGAGCTGTGGCAGGCTTCCTATGCTTTGTGGCATGGGTTGAACACAGTTTCTGGGTTCAAATCCTACCCCAGATACTAGCTTGGTGACCTTAGGCAAGTCCCTTCCTTTCTTTGGGCCTCAGTTTCCTCCTCTGCAAAATAGGTGAGTTGGGCTAGAGGGGCCAACTCCAGATCTAATATCCTTTTATTTTCCTTCCAGAAGTAGGCTCTGTTCACAAGAACCCTAGGGCATTGATACTTAAGCGTGTGTGCAAAAGAAATCCCAGCACCTTCCCTACCCACCCCCTCGCCTTTTTTCCCCCTCTGGCAAAAGCTGACAGGTTTGGGGGTACAGGACTTGGTGTGTGTGTCATTAAATTATTTAATAAACATTCTGGCCATGTCCGGAATCACTGAGCAGTCAAGTGTTTTTTGGGATCCTTAGCTCATAAAGGGACTAGTTCTGCCTCACTGTATAAATATTAAACATGCTGTTTAAATATTAAATTGTAATGTCTCTCTACTTTTGCTCTCCCAGCGAGGACTCAGGATGGACCCCGGGTGGCTCCCCGGTATGGTGCCAGCTCTGATTAGAGGTTCTCATGTTGGCTTCCATTCTGCTCCTCCTGAAACAGTCAGGATGCTCAAAGAGTTTGGGCCCCTTTGGCATTAGCCCAATCATGAAAGTATGAGCTTCTTGGAAACCATACTCGGAGATTCCTGGTGGCTTCTGTCATTGGGCCCCATTTAGCAGGTCCAAGAACATGGGAGTCTTTCCTCTGAATCTAATCATCCCCCACTCCCAAGCAGTTGAATGGGAGCTTTCCTCATCCCCTCTCCCCAGAGCCCTAACTCCCATGCTGGGAGGGCTGCCCACTCCCCTCCATTCCCATGCCCTATCCCTCACAGACTGGTGTGGTGGACATAGCACTGTTCCTGGAATTCTGGCCTCAGGTTTAAAGCCCTGCTCCTGGGCAAGTAAGTGAATTTCTTTGGGCCTCAGTTTCCTCATCTGCAGTTTGATGATGATTTTCAAGGTCCCTTTCTCTGTTCTCTACCCCTCCCCACCCTTTCATCTATCCCATCTCTGCTGATTCTCCATCTCCCCTCCTACTCATCCCTCCAAACTCGCCTTTTACCCTTCTAGCTAATCTCTCCACTTTGCGGATTCCAGCTCCACCCAAAACCACTCTCTCCCATTGTCACAAATCATCTTCCGCACTGGCCCTCATACCCCCAGTTAAGAATGAACAGAGTCTGAGTCCCAGCTCTGACACAAAACTACTTCAGGCCGGTGACCTCATCTCCCTTAGCCTCAAAATCCCCATCATGGTGTAACCCTGAGTTCAAGCCTGAGCATTTGCTTAAGACTCTCTGCACTGCTAGAAAGAAGCGTCATCCTAGGCTGTGTGGCACTGGGGAAGGAGTAGAAATGATGGGAGAAACTGGGCATAAAGAGAACTTCTTCCTTCTTGGGAAGAGGAGACAAGAAGCTCCAAACCCTGTTGAAGCCCAACTGCCGAGAGGAAGACCCCAGACATGCAGGAGCAGCCATAGAGGGAAGCCAGCTCAGCACCTCTCTGATTTCTACCTTGCCTCCCTAGGAATGTGAGGGAATTTCCTCTTGGGTAAGATGGCGGTGTCTCTCTCACTTGAGAAATGAAGCAAAACATTTTTAAAAATGAAATAAAAGTTCTTCAAGGAAAATTTGGTAAGACCCTAAAATGCTTTAGAACAAAAAGCATTAAATCTAACTCAAGAAATGACCTCCCTGAAAACTAGGGTAGGCCAAATAGATATCAATGACTCTGTGACAGCAGAAATACGAAACAAAATCAACAGAAGAAAATGTAAAATATCTAATATAAAATACAGCTAATCCTGAAAAGTCAAAAAGAACTCACTTAAGATTCATTAGACTCTGAAAAACGGGGTGGGTTGTTTTGGTTTTGTTTTTGGTTTGTTTTTTTTTTTGGCCTAGATATTAGATTTTAAGAAATTAAAAATGAAAACTG